TAAAGTAAAGACACTTCTTACTTTAACTTTGAGAGTAGTACAGCTACTTAGAGTTAGCGTTAGGGGCGGGGAATTTATTGATAAGATTAAAGGAAACAGAAAAGTCCGAACTCTCCAATGGTTAATGGGCAATCATTGTACTAAATGTGGACCATTTTCTATCGTTCCTAAGAGAACTACAGATTTATGTCCGTGACCTAAGTTTTAGATCAAGGGTTCTGGTGATCAATACGATGATCAGATATATTAAAATATTATCAAACATATCGTGATCAAATATACGATGATTTTTCTTCTTGAATATTGGGTGACCTTATTTAATGTACAGACACATGATGTCTACAACTAAACATTGCCCCTTAAGTAAATCGCCAAACCTTAGGAAATGGTTCTATAGGTTGAAATAAAGAGAAAACCACGTATGATAAATTCGTCATAAAGACCAAATGGTGAATATACGGTTACCAAAGCATTTTTGTAAAGTATTTCATTCTCGATTTTCTATTTATTTTGACTCACAGTCCCCGGAGTTTTGATGTTTAAGGGTTCTGCATAACCTTTTAGTAAAATACATGATAAAGTTCAAGATTAACTGCATCTAGAAACTTTGTTAAAAAAATTTTAACGTATAATTGTGCTTTGTTGTAACTTTACCTACGTTGAAATATTGCATGAGAAAAACATCAATTTAAAAGTACACGACATCAAAATAACTATTAATGTATTTAAAAAAACCCATTTGATTAATTTGAAAAATTTTCACCATTGAAATTTTGTTATCAGGTTACTATCCCTTCTATATAAAGCAACTGCAGCGTATTATGATTTCAATCAAAGTTGAAAGAGCTATTCATAGAGAGAGCTACTGCTACAATGATATTTTTCCATTGATTAATATACAATGACAGTTTTTGTGATATAAACAAACATATTATTTGCATTATGAACTAACTGGATACAACTAAAATGGAAATGGAATTCTAGTTATCACATTTAGTTAAGTACAGGGTGTTTTTAACGCGCAAATTAAAAGTACTGTGATACAGACATTGACAAAACAACGTTATATGTTGGTATACCTGTTTTTCTTTATATAACGCACTTTTATCTCATAAGGAAGAGTTTATGAAAGACAAGCTGTGAAAACCCTTTACAACGTACTTGCGTAACATATCTTAAAATAAAATCGATATCAGCAATCTGACACACGCTTTCTTCCATTAGCTTGTCAACAACCCTTATCCTGGGTACGTGGTTGGAACTTTATTATTTTGTGGGGAAAATAACACATTTTCAATAACATTTGAACCGTAATTTCTATAGCAATGGGAGTTGTACGATTTTATTTAGAGTTAAAAGGACTATAACATATTAAAACCTTATCAAAATCGTTGTTACGTTTTTTTTGTTTTTTTTTTTGTTAGATGCTTTAGTTTTTTATTGGTTTCATGGGGAAATCACCATTAAATATAAAAAATTTAAAATAAAAATACCTCTGGAGATGTGTTAGTATCCCGGTACCGCTTAAAAAAACCTTTCTTGTGTTCAAGGGGACTAAAACGGATATTTCAAACTCGAAAATTTTGACGAACACAATCTTTCTCCATCTACTAAAATAATGTAGTCTGTATGTCCATCCTATACAGTGTGTAAATTAAGTCTGGCACACATTTTTTATCTTTTTTTCTATAGTAGATAGAAATATTCAATTTGCGGGACTGATTAATAAAAAATGTTGGGCACTTTTTACAAATTTTGAAAATAAAAATTCCCTTAAGACAAAGGGGGGGTGGGGGGCAACTAAACATTTTCAAATGACAACCCCCATCTTGTGACCCCTCATTTTAAAGGTATTTGAAAGACAAATTTAACGATGTGTCTAAAAATGTTTTTTAAGCACCCTGTCCAATATGGTGGCTTAAAATGTGCTTAGGGTTGAACAAGTAAATTAAGTCTGAAACACCCTTAGGGGGATTTTTTCAAATAAATAAAAAGGTGCCTAATTTTGGCTCAGTCCCACAAGTGGATAAGTTCTATCTATTAATGGCAAAACAGATAAAATTGTGTTCCAGACCCCACCCGTTTAACCCCAAGCACATTTAAAGCCGCCATCTTGGATAGGATGCAAAAAAAAATTCAGACACATCGTTATATTTGTCTTCCAAATACCTTTAAAATGAGGGGTCACAAGATGGGGGTTGTCATTTGAAAACTTTTAGTTACCCCCCACCCCCACCTTACCCTTAAGGGATTTTTTTTTTAAATTATGAAAAAGTGCCAAACATTTGTTCTTACTCAGTCCCGCAAAATAATTCCTTCTATCTACAAAGAGTAAAAAAGATAAGAAATGTATGCCATACCTAATTTACCCGTTCAACCCTAAGTACATTTTAAACCACCATCTTGGATAGGGTGCAAAAAACAAATTTCGGACACATCTTTAGATTTGTCTTCCAAATACCTTTAAAATGAGGGGTCACAAGATGGGGGTTGTCATTTGAAAATTTTAAGTTACCCCCCACTACCACTTGCCCTTAAGGGAATTTTTATTTTCAAAATTTGTAAAAAGTGCCTAACATTTGTTAATAATCAGTCCCGCAAATTGATTTCTTCTATCTACTATAGAAAAAAGATAAAAAATGTGTGCCAGACTTAATTTACACACTGTATATTACTATGTATAGGGGAAGAAAGTAAAAAGTGGATTTCAAAAGTCTACCTGATAGAAGTTAATAATTACTATCGCTTTGGCCTTGACACAATTCACTATTCCAGTATTCCAGTCGGTAAATTTCACCCGTAGGAGCTAGCGAACGCTTGACACAAACATTGATTCTGGAATATTTCCAATGAGGTTTCGCCTTTTTTATTTGTTTCCCTGTTGGACTGTATCGTATGATATTTAAACTACTGTTAGCTGCAAAACAAGGTTAACACAAGCAAAATATGCTGTGACAAAACTTGTTTGTACGTTGCTTTTTGGAATCCACATGTTTTTACTTTGACAACGAAGGATGAATAATAATTATGATTATGATATCCTAAATTAGTAATACCATTAAAATTATAATTATAAATACATGTCAAGATGCTTTTGAGAGAACCTCATTGAAGGGAAAAGTTTAACCTGTTGTTTTTATCATTGCTGTACATCCGAAACGGTTAGGTGTATCAACAAAATGACAAGAGTAAAAATGTCTGTAACACGTTGTTTTTAATTGTAGATAAATCACCATATATTTTTAGCCTCCAGAAACTACAGCTGAGTAGATATAATTCCTGTCAGGAATCAGAGGGTAGCCGGTTCGATCCTGAGAACAGCCAGAAGCTTCTTGACTAAAGAATGAGGTCAATCTCACTCAGAATTAAAAAAAAATTCTATTGTTCAATTTCTTTGCTGATCCCACCACGGTGGTGGTTTGTTTGAAGTAAAAAAGTTAACATGACCAATGCAACAGCTTTATAAAGTGAAAGTTGCATATAAATACAAATTATACACTAAAACAAATCTATGAAAAGCTTTCCATTAAATCTTTTACTCGTAAAAACCCGGTAACCGTTACTATTAAATAAACCTTTTTTATTTTAGCAAATTTCCCTATTATATGGAATTATATATATATATGGAAGTAGCTATTACCGTAGGTGGCACGGTAAGACCTAGGCCCGGGACCGATTTACTTTTGCATTTTGATGTCTCCAGAGGCCAAAATCAACATTCGTTCAATTTTTTATATATGTGTCCGTAAACATGATAACTCGAGTAATTTTTGCCCGGGTTTCATGATATTTGGTTTGAAGGTGTAAGGCGGAAAAAACTTGAATGAGTTCGCAAACCAGCATGATCGGACCACGGGAACGGGGTTTTATGGAGTAAATATTTGGTTTTTCTAATTTTTGACCCTCAAAATATAAAATTTCCCAATTTATCTCTTGACATTCTTAAAGAGTTTAAAAATAAACATTTCAGTCTATCAAAGTGTTTTTGTAGGGTTATTGGTTACGGAGAAAGCACAAAAAATTATAAATTTATAATTCCCATTTATTGTTATGGAGAATATTGTAAAACGCTGTAATTTGCTTCTTTATCTATATATAATTTGATCAAACTTGGCAAATTTATTGTTTTATGCTAAGCTATAATTATTTTACTTAAAACACACTTTATTAGTTTCCTTGTAGCAGCAAACCTAGGTACTCGATCATTAAACCTAACGTTATTTAAATAGATTAATTGAAAATAATTTCAGGAAAATGGAAATTTGCTTAGACGGCAGGCTTGCTGCAGCAAGGGTGTTTCAATTTTACATAGTTTTAAAGCTCACAAAATTACATACAGTGTGACAACTATAATGAAATACAAATTTTAATACTCACTGATAAGGACTAAAACTGTTTAACTACTAGATCGATTACAATTCATCACTATCCATTAAAACACATTTTCTATCATGTGCGAAGGTTACGGACATTATTGCGAATGGTTTTGATCATGTTAAGTAAAAGGCTTTGAAATTCATGCAATAATCCCTCAAGTATACACTTACCATCATTACAAATTAAAGTCCAACAATATTTTCTTATCAACCACATTGTTGTAATAGTCGTAACTGTACTGGGAGAATACATTTATGGAACATACCAAACATTTGCATAGAGCAACATTGATGTGGACCTGAATATCGGAATGTATCTCGGAATCGGGAAACTCCCAACCCATGCTAATATACCCTTGAATGGGTACATTGAGGGAGAGTTGAAATGAGAAAGAGCTCAATATTTAACCGTGCGGAACTTTATGATTTGTGTCCAAGGGTGGGGTAAACTATGATATCATTCAATAACCTACTTTTAGCGAATAGCTATGGCCTATGGTAGCTATTACTGTAGGTGGGCACTGTAAGACCTAGACTCGGGAACGGTGTAATTTTTCATTTGATGTTCCCAGAAGAAAAAATACACTATATGTATATATATATATGTGTGTCTCCGTGAACGTGATGGCTCAAGCAATCTTGGTGAGATTTTTATGAAATTTTTCATAAACTTGTAGACATGTGAGCTATGACCTTAGACCTTAGATGAGTTCGTGAACCAGAAAGATAAGGTCATATGAACGGTCTGCTATGGGGCTTTTCCACAAAAAGATATAATATTTTTATACTTAATACATAAAAATGACCATAAAAATTATCGTGTAGAGCTTTAAAAAATAAATAATTTCGTACATTGAAGCGTTGTTGTACGATCGCAGGATATGGGAAAAAATCCCCAAAAACTGTACATTTAAAATCCCCATGTAATTATATAAAAGAGTGGTATTTTGATTGTTTATGGATACATTTTAATTAAACTTGCCTAATTTTCTGATTTCATACCACATTTTTACACTTAATACATAAAAATGACCATAAAAATTATCGTGTAGAGCTTTAAAAAATAAATAATTTCGTACATTGAAGCGTTGTTGTACGATCGCAGGATATGGAAAAAAATCCCGAAAAACTGTACATTTAAATCCCCATAAAAGAGAGTGGTATTTTGCTTGTTTATGGATACATTTTAATTAAACTTGCCTAATTTTCTGATTTCATACCGTACAATTTACGTGGGGGAGCGAGCTGTCTAGTGGCTAGAGCGCGGGACTACGGGTCCTGGGGCCCCGGGTTCAAATCCTGCCAAACCACCAATGGATATTATCTAAGTGATAATGTCGTAACCCCTAGATCTGGCCTGAAGTAATGTGAAAAACAATTCCAGGCTTGTGCCTAGCGTCCTAGAAAAAAATACAATTTAAGTAAAAAACACGTTTTCCTTTTGTTATAGCAACATAAGTACTCGTTAAATATAATGTTATTCAAATAGGGAAATAGAATACTCTGACAATAAAAAAAAGATTCTAGTCAAAATCAACTCAGACAAATGGGAATTCACTAATCCTACAGGCTTGCTGTGACGTATCTGGGACATTTGTAGGATCAATTTCGTATCATTATTAGGAAAAATCACAAATCTTCAAAAACTAAACATATTTATTATATAAGGATTTTACAACTTGCTTATCTGGCAAAGAATACTTGTCAGAGATGTACTGGAGCAGTTATGTTGGATATATTTCTATACTATGGTGTAATATGAACTCAGTTTGGCCTGCCATACTACTAGACATTTATTACATAACCATATTACTAGAAAATGTTCTTTATTACAAAGAGGAATAACATGTAACAAACAATAAATCTCACGAAAACATGTACAATGTGTTTGAATAAAATATTATTACTATTTTTGTCTCAAAAAATTTGTCAGAGGAAGGTTAATAAAATACCACCCCACCCTCATCGGGTGAATTTTGCAGTATTCATGCATCTAAACCAAAAATGTACAGTAGTTTCACAAATTACGAATACAATACGAAACGAATTACAAATTAACAAAGTTTTACACTTTAATGCTTAAGTACATTATAACGTAGTTATAACAGAAATTATAAAACCAAGAAAAGCATTCTTAAGCTGCTTTGTAGGTCAGACTGAATATACAGAAGCGATGTGACTGAATGTAGACTACGGCAGAGGGTGGCCACGTTTACTCACGTTTACAAGTTATTGTCCAACGAACATATTTCCTCCTTTCTCGGTGCAACAGACACGCACCTTCGTATTTTTAGATCTTTTACAGAGATAATTGAAAAAAAAAACCTCTAATGCTTACTATAATTTGTGTGATATTTGCTACTATACTTTTAACGCTGTATTGCTATGGAAATAGGTTAAAACTTTATTTGAAATAAAGTTAACATGACTGTGTTATAGTAAAAATATATCACATAATTTTTCCTATTTAAATGCAGGTTATATATTTTGTTAGTGAAAAAGATTAGGTTAAGAGCTCATATCATAGAAATATATTGTTAGATACACGAAATTCTTAAACCGGATAGGGACAGTGTACAGTAGTTCTCATTTTATCGTTTAAGAATTTGCATTTGTTCTGACAGTTTTATTTGAACCTCCCTGCTGATTGTATGGTTATGATTCCATATACAAAGAGGTTTTCTCATCAATATACCGTTCTATGAATAGATAATTATAGAGTTTTCCGTGGAATTGTCCCTGATCATGTTTGTAGAAAAAGAATTATCTATATTGACTTGAACAATTATTACAAGATTTCAGATAAAATTCTGCGGACCTTTTTATTGAGTGGAGAAACCCTTTTTTAAATTTTAACTTAAACTCAGGCGTAATCAACAATTGAGTTTATGTATTTCCAAATTTTTGTATCCTAAATTTTATAAATCTAGTTTATAATATTGTCACATATAAGGTCAATTCCAGGTAATGTAAAGAGTAGTAGAGAATAGTAAAGTATGCATAAGTATGGTAATATAGTAGGATTTTCTAAATTAATAATACCTAAATCATCAAACCATCCTTGGCAGCAAGAAATGGCAGCATTCCACTCCATGATTTACAGACTAATAACATTGCCCCTAAACAAAACAAATTTTGAAAAAGAAAAGAAGATAATAAAATATATTGCAGCCGAAAATGGATATAAGGACAATCTTATTGATAATACGATAAAGAACAAAATTAAGAAACAAAAGAAAAATGAAGAGAAATTGAAAAAAGAATACATATGTCTCCCTCATAACTCTAAATTAAATAAAGCAATAAGGAAAACCTTATCTAAAACAAATTACAAAGTAACATATAGAACAAAAAACAACGTCTTTAAGATTATAAATTCAAAAGTGTCCAAACATCAACAAATAACTGAGGAATCATCAAAATTTAACAAAAGCGGTATTTACAAAATTTCCTGTACAGACTGTAACAAGTATTATATTGGCCAAACCAGTAGAAGCTTCAAATGTAGATTCCAAGAACATATACAAACATTTAAATCTAAAAATTCAACAAGTATGAAATCAAACTACGCAGAACACTTACCAAAAACTAATCATAAATATCAAAACATAGAAAATAATTTATCAGTAATTGAATTTGAACCAAACAAAGACAAATTATTCATTAAAGAAGAATTCCACATATATAGAAGCCATAAAAAAGATCCTGAAAACATACTTAATACAATACAAATTCAAAAAGAAAACATAATATATGAAAAAATCTTATATAATAAATCAAAAGAAAACAACACCGAAGCCAACTTATATACTAGACAAAATTCCAAAATCATATGATAATTTACTTATTTATTATTTACATTTCTATTTATTTACTATTTGTTCATAACTGTGATCATGGCCTAAGAGCCGAAACATGTAAGTTTATTCAAATAATTAATAACTTAAAGGGTACTAAATGTTTAATTATTTATTTAATTTATTAATAATAATAATAATATTCGATTTTGATTATTAATTAAAACGGGCCTTACAGCTTAGGGTGGTGTAATTTGACAAAAAGCACACTTACTTATTGTTATTAATGTCACTTCAAGAGAAACAAATTACACTTAGAATTTAGCAAGTCCTCTTTGCCTGCAGTTCATTCATTTAGTAGAATTCACGCATTAACGTATGACAGTAGGCAAAGAGTGGATTTACTAACCGATTAGTAGTCTACGTCTAATCACAAGTCACAAGTGGTGAACAATTATCATAGCTTATAGGCCCAACTTCGGTCCCAGGTAAGGGACACGAATCACGGCCTTTTAAATATTGAAATTTTCGAGTTACGAATACGGGTAAAACAACACTTGCAGTTTAGGTGGTATAGTCTTGGAGCTTCCAAAGAATCAATGCGAGTGCCAACGTATTCAGAGGCTGTATAGTTAACTAAAACCACTTTAAATTGAAAGATATTTGCCATATTTTGAATATTTAGTTTGTATTTCTTCTCAAATCACGTTTTTTTGTTTTATACTTTATAGAATTAAAATTATTTAAATATAAAAAGTAAAACTACAGTGTGATAATAACAAATATATATATATATATGTATGTATGTATGAACGGAAGGTGTTTTTGGCCTCTAGGGACCTCAAAATGAAAATGTAAATCGGTCCCGGGTCAAGGTCTTACCATGAGTACTACAGTAATAGCTTATTCCCTATATGGGAAATTCGCTAAAAAGATATTTTCATTATCTAAAAGTTGCTTTACAAAATGTTTGATGGAGTTCCGAATAAAAACCATACAATGACAGTTCATGAATGAACAAATTCCACTAATTATTAAGAGGCATCAAACAATCCAAGAACATATTAATTAAAGGTTACTACGCACAAAAGATTATTTCATAGTCTTTAAATTGTAACCAAATGATAAGAACGAGCAAGCAGAGTAGTTAATTACATCACAGTATATTTAGTAGGTCTAATTGAAGCGGGTTTACAGTTTTGTAAACCACATTATCCTTTAAATAGAAGTGAAAGCATGAGTTACTTAAAAAAAGCTCGGTAGTCTGTGTTTAAATATTTAAAACTATTGATGAAAAATAAAACTAAACGGAATTTTGGTTTACAATTAAAATAATTGAGATTCAATTAGTAAAGCTACTGCTCTCTTTGTAGTAATAAAATAATACTTCGATATAAGTGGAATTCTGAAAATGATTGACTTAAACATTATATTTGAAACTGATCCCTATATATATTTTAAATGTTTTATTTTTATTTTTAGATTTGTAATATTTTGTTTGTGTTTTGTAATTTTGTTTAATTTTTTGGGAAATCTACCCAAATAAAAAAAAAAAACTTTTATACAAATTGTTATTGAAATGAAACTTTCACCGTGCATTATTTTGTCAAGTTATTTGATGGATGAGCACATTTTAAACTCCGTTCCAACACAAACAAGCATACAGTACTTTAAGGAGTTTCAGGTTTTACTTTCTACTAGCTATATAATCGTAGCTATATACTGCTGATTTAAGTGAAATAACAATATATTTTATATCACTAACTTACTTTGGGTCATCTTTATTTTTACAAAAGACAAACTCTTAGACCAATTGACATTAAATTGAATAACTAATTTTCAAAA